AAATTTTTTTTTTTTTTAAAGATTTTATTTATTTGTTTGACAGAGAGAGACAGTGAGAAAGGGAACACAAGCCGGGGGAGTGGGAGAGGGGGAAGCAGGCTTCCCGCGGAGCAGGGAGCCCGATGCGGGGCTCGATCCCAGGACCCTGGGATCATGACCTGAGCCGAAGGCAGACGCTTAACGACTGAGCCACCCAGGCGCCCCCGATTTTATAAATTTGAAGGAACTTTGTGATCACTGTTGTAAGACATTTCTCCTTAAAATGAGAAAATCTAACATTCTAGCAATATATTTTGGTGCTCTGAACATTCATTATCATGTAGGATTGCTGCAAATAGGAGGACTTACTTTCCTTTTCGTTTGTTTAACAGCTTCTATTTGCAAAAATTTTGTGTAGGTTAATACAGAGTAAATATGTGTTATTAAGTAACACTAAAAACAACACAAGAGAAGAAATCTGGTTTTCAGTGCCTGACTACAATTGTTTTTCAAGAGGTACTAAAAGTTTGAGGAAAGTCCAGATTTCTTATTTTTAGCATCTTTTCTGGTGAATTCTCCTCCCTTATGTTTGCATAGTGATGGTAGAACCATCTGGAAATGATAGAAATAGCTATTTGTTGGGGGCAGGGGAGAAGGCAGCAGAGTTCCATTCTATGAATTGCTTTAGTTTCTCCAATTTAATAGCTTGCTGTCTATAAATCATAGAAGTCACATGAAAGGTTGTGTTCTGAAATTTTTGCCTGTACATTTGAAATATGAAGTTCATGGACTTTGATTTGAATATAGCTATTTCTTCCAACTACCCTTCTGGAAAATGCTTAAATGTTAATGTAGCATTGAGGGAAAGACTTTTTTCTTTAATATCATCTTTACATTTCAGAGCCTCCTGGCTTAAGAATATCCATGAAAGCAAATGTCTCTGGTAATCAGTCAATATTTCCTGAGAAAGAGTGGAAGATTCTTGCATTCTCTTGAAACCCGTAAAACTCTTGAGCTAAAAAATATTTTTCAGGGCTATAGCTAACCTCTTAGGTGTGAGAGATATTTGGCAGGTTGGTGGGGGCGGGGGGTGTCGCATGGTGTAGCAATGAAAGAAATTAGAGAATGAAAAGGCCCGACTAGCTGTGTGACTTTGACAAGTTCTTTCTGAAAGAACTTCAGTTTCTTTTTTTTTTTTTTAGATTTATTTATTTATTTATTTTGAGAGAGAGAGAATGAGAGATAGAGAGCACAAGAGGGAAGAGGGTCAGAGAGAGAAGCAGACTCTCTGCTCAGCAGTGAGCCCGATGTGGGACTCGATCCCGGGACTCCAGGATCATGACCCGAGCCGAAAGCAGTTGCTCAACCAACTGAGCCACCCAGGCGCCCAGAACTTCAGTTTCAAAAGCATAAGGGTTGTACTTCATTGTCCCACTGTATCACGCTTAAGATTCCGGATTCGGATTCTTTTTTTTTTTTTTTTAAGATTTTATTTATTTATTCATGACAGACAGAGAGAGAGAGAGAGAGAGGCAGAGGGAGAAGCAGGCTCCCAAGGAGCAGGGAGCCCGATACGGGACTCGATCCCAGGACCCTGAGATCATGACCTGAGCTGAAGGCAGACGCTCAACCATCTGAGCCACCCAGGTGCCCCCGGATTCGGATTCTTTATAGAGCCTATCTGTTTGAAAATAGAGCGTCTGACTTATCTAACTAATAAGCCATTCTGTCCAGTACAAACTATATGTATTTGGGAGGTCAGTTTATTGTGAGGAGCTGAGGGCGTTTCCCTTGAGGCATTCACAAGGTAATTGAAGCATCAGATTACTTTATCTACAAATGTCTAAATAATTTTCATATTTTGCTATATCCTTCTGCTGCCACCCATTGTGCAAACTGATAACACATTTAGGAAAGGTCACCTTTGTTTTTTGGTTTTTTAAATTTATTTATTTGTCAGAAAGAGAGAGCACAAGCAGCGGGAGCTGCAGACAGAGAGAGAAACAGGCTCCCCGCTGAGCAGGGAGCCCGATGTGGGACTCGATCCCAAGACTCCAGTATCATGACCTGAGCCGAAGGCAGACGCTCAACGACTGAGCCACCCAGGCGTCCCAGGAAAGGTCACCTTAAAACAACCTTTCGTCAAATGGCATGGAGGATGCTAGAAGTCATTGGTTGACTTCCTTTCTGAGCAGCAGACTCCTTTGTTTCCTAAGTGTGATCGACACAGAGTTGTCACCATCATCTAAATGGACTGAGCTTATTTGGATACCAGGAGGAATTTTTATTTGTTCTCTATTAGTTGTAGATAAATTTCTTAGTCATTCTTATGGAAATTATGGTAGATCAACTCTGTTCTGCTAACAGAGTCTCAGTTGGTCCCATCTCTTTACAATAGGAACTTACTTTTCCTTGTTAGAAGAGGAAGGAGTTTGGCTGAAGATGTTCTTTTAGTGTTGACTTCTTTCTAGGATCCTGTTTAGGCAACTGATGGTAAAGACTACTATTCACATCTCACCCTGAAAATGCATGGAGTCATGGTTGGGGTTTATAGTTGTTGTCATTAATATCAGTATGGGAAATGGTTGCTCTTTCATCTGAGTCACTGATGGACACTTGGAAAACTATGCTTGGAAACATTTATATTCCGAAGCCCACTCTTCTGCTCCAACAGTAGTTATCCCTCCAGCTTACAGCCGCCTGTGAAGGTGTCTGCTGTTGCCAGCTAGCTCTAAAGGTGGGTGCTGGGGAATAAGCAGTCCCAGAGAGGAGGAGAGTGAGGGGCATCCAGCCCAGGCCTGCATGGGCATGTACCCTCTTACTTCACAAATCTTCTTAGTTGTGGCCTAGGTAAGGGAAATGACTTATTTACACGTGGCTCACTGGTGGCATAGCTAAGTCTAGGCTGTCTCAAGACGTGACTTTGAAAATGGATTGAAGAAGATGGCAAGGGGATCTGCAAATCACACTCTGGTACTTCCCCTGTCTTCTGTACTCTGGAAATGCCAAGCCTTACCATAGGCTCTGGTTGTCTTTTCAGGCACCCTGGTAAGAATATAGAGTTACGGAATGAGGGGGGAGGGTGTAAGAGGCAGAGGTGGGAGCTTCATACCACTGAGACGGAATGTCCCTGATGGGGGCATAGAACTTCCCCTCCAGGAATTGTCCCTGTGGCTTAGGGAGGAAGTGGTGCTCTCTTTGTGCTGGCAAGAGGCAAGTAGAAACAGAGGGGCTGGAGGCTCTGGAAGCTCTGTCTTGTGACCTGGCACCAGGGGAGGCTGTCTGCCTGGCCCGTTATGTGGAGTCACAAGACCTCCAAGGTACAGTTTTACAAAAGCATGTTCTCCTCTCCTGTCAGAGCTCACACTCAGGGCACACTTCCCATTGTCCATTCCACAACTCTAGGTGGATGGCCCTGGTTGTGATCTGGGGGCTACTCCAGTAATAGCCTTATCTCTGTCACTGAGTGACTAAAGAGGCTGCAAACCCCCTGTAAGAGTGGTTTTAAAAGTTTTGAAGATAGTGGAAAAACCCTGGAAAGTATTATAACTATGCCACAGAAGAAAACAGATTGTTCGGGGTCCTGCCTATCCCCTCACTAAAAAAAAAAAAATTTTCTCAGTAGGTTGCCAGCCACTGCCGAATAGCCAAAGAAATTGTGCTTTTGAGCTGCTTGTTATTTCTAGAAACTTTAAAGTTAATTCCAAAGTAACAGGGTGGAGACCAAAAAAGGAAGAACACTATTTTATGGTGCTTTTAGCAAAGGTAAAATATTTGCCTCAGGCTCAGGGCAGTCAGCTCTGTGGGAATGGCTGGTACGAGTCGTCCAGCTCGTGGCAGCTGGGGGAGGACCTGATCATTGCAGGTGGTGCTGACACGCACAATTCCTTTCTCACGCCCCAGCTCCTCTCGTTTCAGCCGACAGATATTTCTTGAGCTCCTGGTAGACGTGCAGACTGCCAGGTTAAGTACTGACCTCCCCTTTCGAGCTCATTTTTGTTGTTAGCCAGCCTTCTGAGTGAACTTCAGTCTTCATTCAGTGGCCTTCACTCCCAAGTAACAGCTCATGTTATCTTTCAGGTCTTTTTCTTTTTACTTTAGAAAACATTGTTTTTGTTCATTTTTTTTTTTAAGATTTTATTTATTCATTTGTCAGAGAGAGAGCACAAGGAGGGGGAGTGGCAGGCAGAGGGAGAGGGAGAAGCAGGCTCCCCGCCGAGCAAGGAACCTGATACGGGACTTGATCCCAGGACTCTGGGATCATGACCCGAGCCAAAGGCAGATGCTTAACTGACTGAGCCACCCAGGCGTCCCTCCTTTTGTTCATTTGTTGTTGTTTTAAGATTTTATTTATTTATTTATTTGTTTGTTTGTTTGTTTATTTATTTATTTGAGAAAGAGAGAAAGTAGGAGGGAGAAGGAGAGAGAATCTGAAGCAGACTTCCTGCTGGGTGCAGAGCCCAACTCAGGGCTCGATCCCACCACCTGAGCCAAACCGGAGTCTGAGGCTTAACCGACTGAGCCACCCAGGTGCCCCTCCTCTTGTTCATTTGTTAAAACTTATGATCCTGATGTTGACTTCCAGGTTGAAAAAGCAACGTCTCTGAGGCAATATGGAGCCCTCCTGATTCTGGACTCCAAGGAGCAGGGGCGCAGCTATAGCAGTAATCCAAGATGGATTTCTGTTGGATTGGGCATTTTTATATAGCATTTTCCCACAGCATAACTACCCCCTGATGACACCTTGTAAAGATGAACATATACTCCCTTACACCAGGTGAGGGTTGGCCTAGAAAAGCTGGGATATAGAAAATCCATCATGAGAATAAATCAGATGCCTGGGTCCTGGTCATAAATCTGCTACTAACTAGTATGTGACCTCTCTTATCTAGCCACCACTCGCCACTCCCTGGACGATCTCTAAAGACTTCAGCAGTTCTGAGCCTGATCAGTCTTTGCATAATTACTTATGGATATATGAAAATTACACCAGGCAATGACATGTTCTCTTTTCCCTACAGAGTGAAAGCTGCCCAGACTGAGTTAGGACAGCAAATCCTCGCTGATTTTGAAGAAGCATTTCCTTCCCAGGGCACCAAGGTATTGTTTTCCCTCCAGTCTTAGACGTTATCACCATTCTTGCCTAATTCACACTCTCTACCGTTACCATTCCAAAAGTGTCTGCTGGCGGCTGTAAGTCTGTTTGCTAGAGCTTCGGGGTAATGAGACCATCCTTGATTTTAAATATCCCAAAGCAATGTTGGTTCTTCATCTGTGTTCTTCCAGCATCAAAGAGTGAGGATTTATTTTGGTTTAATTTAATATGTGTCAAACCTAATATCTCATCTGCCCAGCAAATTCCTTTTTTCTCATGGCTGTGTTAAAAAAAAATTTTTTTTCAAGCCTCAATGTTTTTTAGAATCGTTACATAACTTATTGGTTTCAGTTTGGTGAAAAGACAGCTGGGAGGAGCATCCACAGGCTTATATAACTCTCAGAGTGACACAGTTAGGAGACTCACTTTTAATGATCAGAATCCTATTCTTTGGGATTAATCCCTTTAGCTCTTGCTGGTGGCGTGGCTGTTTGTGTTGTGTCTGCGAAGGCCATGGTATTTCGCTTGTGAGCTATGGTTACACTTCTCCCATAACAAGCTTTGCCTCACTTGGCTGTCACTGCGCTTGGGTAACTGCTTTTAGCTCTATCTTTCAAACTGTAGCAGATGTAATCTTAATGCTTTGCATGTGTCGGGGAGAGAAGAACCTTCAGAAGCTTTTTTTCTCTATTATTTGAGCTATTTCAAGAGAAGGAATTATTCAACACAGAAATAAACCAAAGCACACACAGGCAAGCAGTGTTCCTCACTGCACTTGGTGGGTGGAGATGGGGATATATGTTCATTTACTGAGCCAAGGAACGTTTCCTGGACCTGCTCTTTAATTCAATAACTGGAAATATCTTAATCATTTTTCTTTGTGCTCCATAAAAGAAACTTAGGAAGTAGGTGGGGGTAGCTGCCCCAGCTTTGTAGATTACTTCCTATAGGAAACCTGGTCTTGATTTGTTTTTTTTGTTGTTGTTGTTAAAGATTTTATTTATTTATTTGACAGAGACACAGCAAGAGAGGGAACACAAGCAGGGGGAGTGGGAGAGGGAGAAGCAGGCCTCCCGCTGAGCAGGGAGCCCAATGCGGGGCCCGATCCCAGGACCCGAGCCAAAGGCAGATGCCCAATGACTGAGCCACCCAGGCGCCCCCCTGCTCTTGATTTTAATGTCTGCATATATTATGGCTGCCTTCTAGTAATCAGATATTTTATTTGTAAGACATGTTCCTTTCAGGACTTTATGTTCCTTATTCATTTGATATAACTGTGGGGAATGGATATTGGAAAGCCATTCTGTAAAAAGGGATTGCAAGATATTCACAAATTATAAACACCAGACTGTTCTGAGCCCAGGGTCTGCTTTACTATACTCTGGTATCTAGCCCAGTTTCAAGAAGTTTCAGAAAGATATGAATGAAGCCCAGCTTTATTGTTTAGAAGAAACTAATCATGACCTACTTTATGTCTTTTTCTCAGATCCCACCAAGCAGATGAAGTTAAAATTGTTTTAACAACTTACTTCCTTTTTCTGTAGCTGGGTAACTTAATCTTTTTTTTTTTTAAGTTTTCTATTCTCCTTTTCAGTGACTATGGACTTTTCTTAAAGGCCTTGTGTGCTATTCCTATTTCACAAATAGAAATCAAGACATTAAAATTGTACAAGGTAACCTACTAAGTCCTTTTTAAATAAAAATATCTGAATCCATGAGCCCATCAGTTTCAGCTTCTGTGACTTCTCTATCAGATCAAACACTTTCATCCAGAAGCAAGAGGTGAGCAGTCAGAGTGCTCAGCAGATGACATAACAGCATTCAGCACAGAGTGAGTCAGCATCTTAACAATTTAGCTCTCAGGCAGCTTAGTAACACTTCTAAAACTCTTGAACTTCAGTCAAGACAGATATAGTATTGGACAGAGAATCATAAAGATTTGGAAGAACATTAATCGTCACCTAATTGAAGTTCATTTTTTTTTCTCATGTATTTTTCAGATGAGTTTCAATAACTGTGCCAAAGCTACACAGCTATTTAGCCAAGCCAAGAGTAGCTTCCAGGTGTTCTTTTTGCTCTAGTCCACTCAGCCAACCATGTTCATTCAGTGAGTTACCATAAAGAAAAGTTCGGCAAGACTGGATTGCCCTCAGTAATAACAAAGGCCTTCCCATCGTGATGTATCAATATGGCCCCTCAATAGCCTTCTACTGCCTTTCAGATCAAGGGACTGATATCATCATATTTGACCTCTGTCTACCTGCGTGGGTAGTTGACTGTCAGCAAAACAGGTCTGGCAGTTTGGAACCTCGTTTTAGATTTTAAATGCCACTGCAGTGTTTGGCACAAATACGGCACTTTAAGAACAGGAATCTGAGGTTAGAATCAGGGGAAAGTGGCACGTGTGGAGTGAGACTGGTGTCCTTCTGAATTGTATGACTCTTCACCAAAGTGATTTCAGTTTTTGTATTCAGAAAGCAAAATTTCCTATTGCTGACCCTGTTTCCAAAATGTCTCCTTGCTGATTCACAGAGTAGCTTTTATATTGGCTACTGCGGACTAGCTTAGTAATTCTTGCATTGAGTAACAAGTAACTAAAATATCCATCCACAGCGAAAGAATAAGTGTCAGGGGAGTGCAGGTAATAATAACTTCAAGAGAGGAACAAGAAGTTAACAGCTGTCAGAGGCCGTGAGATTTAAAGATTGTTTCTGGCTCTTGAACTGGTGTGTGTTGTTTGTTTTACCAGAGGCCAGGAGGACCCAGCAATGTCCTACGAGATGCATGTCTGGTTGCTAATATTTTGGATCCCAGAATCAAACAGGAAATCATCAAAAAGTTTATTAAACAGCATCTGTCAGAATATCTAGTACTTTTTCAAGAAAACCAAGATGTAAGTATTGACCAAATGAAATCAATGTTACATTTGAATTTTACTGAAAATTAAATGCCCTCAAGTCTGCTGATTCATATTTTAGTAGTATTACTGCCTTAAAATGTTGATGTTTGAACTGTGACTTTAGGGGCTGACTGTACAGTTCAGTGGTTCTTAACCATTTTGAGGTCACTGACCCTTTGGAGAAAATAATGGGAGCTACAGATCCTCTCCCCAGGAAAATGTACCTATGCATAAAACTTTGCATATACAGTTTCAGGAAATTTACAGATCCCTGAAGTCTAATCATAGACCCAAGTTAAGATCCTCTGGATCAAGTGAAAAAGTAGCCTATATTCTTTAAAACTGTGAGAAATAGGGGTGCCTGGGTGGCTCAAGAGCGAGACTCTTGATTTTGGCTCAGGTCATGATCTCGGGGTTGTGAGATCCGTCGGGCTCCGCTCTGGGTGTGGAGCCTGCTTGGGATTCTCTCTCTCCCTCTGAAAGAAAGAAAGAGAGAAAGGGAAGGAAGGAAGGAAGGAGAAATAAAGCAAAATTGTGAGAAAGTAAGAAAAAGAAAAATGAAATAAAATTGTGAGAAAGAAAGAGATTGGTTATGTTTTTCTTGGTTCTGTTTTTGTTTATTTCCTTAAACTGTGAACACTACTTCTGAGCACTGGGTGGATTTTGTTCCCTACCTTCCTAAGGTTGCCTGGCTGGACAAAATCGACAGACGCTATGCCTGGATAAAACGCCAGCTTGTGGACTATGAGGAGAAATATGGTCGTATGTTTCCACGTGAGTGGTACATGACTGAGAGGATTGCAGTAGAATTTTGCCATGTCACAAGGTAGATTCCAACTCTACTGGTTTTATTGTTAATTGAAATCAATCCCCTGGTCTCTAGGGGTTCCATCTTGTCTTGTGGATTGGGTACCACTTCCACTTTTTTCTATTGTTGTTTGAGAGTCATCATTTTAATGAGAACTTCTTCACCCGTGCTGGACTCTCTCCCTTTAGAAGACCCTTTTCCTGTTGAAAGTCAGATTTTATTAACCCAAAACCAACCCCTAAACTCCAGCTGCAGCTGTATTCCAACTTCTCCAACTTCAGAGTTCCAAACCTAGAAGAGAGGACATGTATGTGGAGGAAGAGTAAAAACTTCTAGGAAAAAAGTGAAAAAGGGTACACAAGAGTCCTGGGCTAGTAGCCTGTAGTCAAAGCACTTTTTTTTCTGAAGAGTAATATATATAAAACACAGCAGCTTCATCTGCTCCTGTCTTTGCTCTAAGACTTTCCTGTAGCTTGACCCTTGCCTTGAACAGCCTGCCTTCTGGACTTAACCTAGTCAAGGCTCATCCACCAGATATCCCTGTTATTCAACACCCCACATGTTCTCCTGCTATTATATATATCAGTATACAGTGTATATATCTATCATCGTTTTGCTTCTCTGACTTGCTACATATATTGTTCCATAGGGACAGTTCCATACACTGAAGGGGTAGTTCTACTTCAGTGACAGTCAGGAAATATCTGCTGAACAAATTTCCTGCCCCTAATGCAGTGTATTTGTAGTCTTTGGATAGTTAATAATATCGGCATCTGAATGTTCTAAGCATCCTAAAGACCTCTTATCATTCATCCTGTCTCTGCAGTTTCATGAATGTAGCCCAAGGCCAGACAGTCCATTTATATTGAAGAGATAAAACCCAAGGTTAGATTGGTGTGTCCATGACAAAGCTAAAGCTAGAGTCAAATTTTTTTTATTTTTTACTTGGAGCTGTACCACAACAGTGGTAGTAACTGGGTTTTATTAGTTATCTGTGGCCTACTTTTTTTTTTTTTTTTAAGATTTTTAAAAAATTTATCAATGAGACAGAGAGCATAAGCAGGAGGAGGGGCAGAGGGAGAGAGAGATAAGCAGACTCCCCACTGAGTGGGGAGCCCATCGTGGGGCTTGATCCCTGGACCCTGAGATCAAAATCAGATGCTTAACTGGCTGAGCCACCCAGACACCCCAGTTATCTATGCCCTTCTCACAGTGCACAATTACATTAACTCCAGGCTAATTCTTCAGAAAAGTCCCATGTCTAAGCATAACTCAGCCACCTTAGAATAATTCATGGTATGCATCTTTCTTAAAATCAGAGAATATAATGAAGTTGTATGCTTTAAACACACGGGGGGCGGATTTCTTAAGGGATATTGGCTATTCGCTTCACTTTTTTCTTGAATAGACTTTATATTTTAGAGTAATTTTAGGATCACAGCAAAATTGAGAGGGAGATACAGAGGTTTCCCCTACACTTGTGCTCCCACACATGCATGGCCCCCCTACCATCAGCATCCCCCACCAAAATGTACATTTGTCACAATTGATGAACATGCATCAACAGATGATTATCACCCAGAGTCCACAGTTTACATTAGAGTTCACTCCTGGTCTTGTACGTTCTGTGTGGCTGTTGTTCTCAGAAGCACATTTGCTACCATAGGTTTAGATGACCTTTAAATGTTGATTCAAGGACAATTGTGCTTGTCACTTCGAAGTCCTGATTAGCAAAGAAAACAAATTCCTTGAGAAATTGATACCTAATTCTCTTTAGCCTACAGTTCAGTGACTTGCAGACTAATCTGTGAATACTGCAGTCTGCAGGAGACTGGGAGTCTGCTGAAGCCACAAATCTGCCCTCGTTGTGTCGGCTAATGGCTGTGTTGTGGCTGTTGCTGCCAAGCTTTCATTGCTGGAATTTTGGCTAAAATCCTACAGATACATAATTTCCAAAGAATCGCAGAGGCTCTTTGTTTGGTTTTGCCATTTCTTTGTATGGGAAGATATCCATGGCTCAGTACTTCCTAAGAGCTCTCAGGTCACTGGTCCCTCACAGCTCCCATTCTGAAGCAGAACACTGGCGTGGTACATAAGCTTCGCAGGCACTACCCACCTGAGCACGTACATGTCACTTTTCACGTGGGGGTTCTCATCTCTCACATGTATTTCCGGGGTTCCTGCTCTCTGGTTGAAGAGATGGTGATTGAGCTCTTTGGAAGAGGGGGCTTTGTAATTTAGTAGTTAATGACTTACGATGGTACATAAAATATATGCATTTTTATAAAATACTGAGTGCTTTAGATATATATTATTAAAAATTACGGAAAGGTTGAAAGATCTAAAAATAGTAGTGACCATGTAAACAAATTGATCTCTCCTTAATCCTTGATTTTTTTTTTTTTTTTGACTAGTGGATAATTTCACCTTCAAATTCTTAGAGTATGTATTTCTATTCTCGAAACAGTAAACTTGGTAACAGATCTCAGGATTTGAAATGACCACATAATTTTTTTTATATATATATATAAGCTAAAACCATTTACTTTATCCTATCTTGAACAGTTTTTTTTTGACAACATTCTTACCTCTTTATTTTGAAGGACAGAACTTGCCAAGATTATGCGTACCAGAGCTAAGGAAATTGAAGTGAAATTGCTTCTTTTTGCTATTCAAAGAACGACTAACTTTGAAGGGTTTCTTGCCAAACGCTTCTCCGGGTGCACCCTGACAGATGGAACTCTGGTAGGACCTTCCTGAGGGAGGCTGGAACACAAAATCAGGGGGCCGGGGGGTTGGGCTTCAGTTCAGTCTTTCCTAGTTTGGTGGTTCCATCCAGTGGCTCGAGTGCTCAGTCCCTCATTCCAGGGATTTCACTAAATTACGTGAATGGTGATGCAGAGTACTCTATGGATTTAGTGTTTTCTCTTATGCAGTATTTCAAGTTTTTAGAACATCCTGTCATTTATCTGAGTAGTGGCCCCATTTTACAGACTGGTGATTTTGTGAGTGAGAGTACGTGGAGAAGCAAAGAATTATTTTTTCATTTTATTCTGGTATTTTGTTTGAATTTTTCTTTTTCTTTTCTTTCTTTCTTTTTTTTTTTTTTTTTTGAAGATTTTATTATTTGACAGAGACACAGTGAGAGAGGGAACACAAGCAGGGGGAGTGGGAGAGGGAGAGGCTCCCGCAGAGCAGGGAGCCTGATGCAGGGCTCTGGGACCATGACCTGAGCTGAAGGCAGGCACTTAACGGCTGAGCCACCCAGGCGCCCTTGAATTTTTCTTACACAAATGCATTTACATAGTTTTTAAAAAATACTTTTTGTATTTACGTGCTTTAATAAAGTTATTTTTCAGTTTTTTTTAAATGAGGGAAATGAGCCGAAACTGACTATTTAAAGAATTCTAATGTGGAATCCACACAGAATAATAGCTAACATTTTTTTAACATCCTCTGTGTGTCCCACACTATGCTAGGTGCGTTTACCTGCGCTCGGTCACTTTGCTTCATCAGCTATAGGAGGGAGGTGTTATATTCATTTCAAACTTAACAGTGGTCGCACAGCTAATATGTAAATGCAGAAAAACAGCTACTCTGGATGAGGCAGGGAAGTAAGAGCAGAGATTGGGCCTGGAGTCCTGTTCACTTGTTCACCCTTCACCTCTACTACCTTCTCTAGCCCCCATGCTCTTAGTCCTAAAATCCTGGGACTTCAGTGGAATCCCCTCTTTGCCCCCTTGTAAGACCTGCCTCAGAGTAGGTGCATCAGGAGCTGGTCCCTCAAGACACTGGGCTGAAGAGTGGTGGCAGCAACACTCAGTTTTAAGGCAAGACCATAAGGCCGTATCTACTTAGGGCCAGTCATGACTGTATTGAAATAAAATACAAGGAACCACAGAGCATTATTTCCATACTGAAAAAATAAAAATACATACGTATACTCCTCTGCTTGTTACCTCATGTTCAAAACTGGTTTGTGTTTAGTAACGAGGAAAGAAATAGGCCACGAAACAAATGAAAATGCCCTTAAATAAGATGCAAGTCACAAAAGGAAATAATAGGTAATGGCAATGCGATTGAAAGAAGAATGTGTCTCTCTCCTGAGAAGTATTTGGTTGACTTCAGCAGTGCCTGACAGCCTCATGTTGGCCCTCCTCTCTGCCCTACCCGAGCTGTGTTTCTGGCCTGGTTTCAAACAGACACTCATGCAGGTCTGGGTTCAGCCCTACAGAGATCTGCCTGGGGACAGGAGGTTTAAGCATTGAGCATAGACCCCACCTGGGAGTGTGCCCCTGTGCGCCCATGGCTTCCAGCTGGGCAGGGTCAGAGGAGCCTAAGGATGGGTTCTGTAAGCCAGTATTCCAGTTAACCGTATGGCAAATAGATCCCAATCAAGGCTGCTTGGATAACATTAGTGCCAAACACCTGTTTTGAACCCTTCGTCTCCTCCCTTGGCTGGGCCCTACTTCCTGGTGATTTTGCTTTTACATTTAGGGAGCTATAGGATTACAGGGGAACAAATAGCCCTGTTGTATCTGATGACCAGGATAGCCTGTAAACTTGGATGTGTGCCAGGACACATCACATCTTGTTTGTGCTAGGAAATGCCTCACAGGCCCAAAGAGGTAGAGTAATGTGGGCCAGGAAGGCTCCCTCTGGACAAGGTGAGCCTATTGAACAGGATAACCATGTACAGACCATGAAAAACTGGCAGGAGCTGTTTGAAGACCACGCTTTTTTTTTTTTTTGAAAATAGGTATCGGAATGTCAGAGTGGCAGCTGGTCCACAGTCAGCACCTTCTGTCTGAGGGAGGAGAGGGCTTGGAGATGCTTGTTTCTCAGGACCGTGCGCTCTCTGCACTTGCGCTCACTCTGCAGGGCCAGGCTCCTGGACTGAGCCTCCCATCTCCTGGCACATGCTGCGCTCTGTGGGGTCAGTCATGGTCAGCTGGGAACACTTGAGCCTTTTCGGGTTTTTTGTTTTGTTTTGTTTTTTTCTGTCTTCTGTTTTGGAAATTTTCTGGCATAATTGATTTATAAATTTCTCCAATTGTTCAGTTGTTGCTTCTCCCTATCAAGTTTGCAGAAAGTTTCAGATTACAACTCCTTGGCCAGAAAATCCTGCTAAGCCATAAACTCTTCATACTCCCCTACCAATGGTCAGTTATCTTTTCCACAGATTTTTCCAAATCATTCAACTTCTTTAGATCATACTCTTCCCCTGGACCACTCTTTGTCCTAGTTATTATGACCCAGGAACCATTCTGCATTCCAAGTCCTGGCAGTGGCTGATCCATAACCTTTAAGGATTTTCCCTCCAAGGTTAGTTTCTAGAAAGGCAGCGGAACTCCTGTGGTCTCCTCAACAAGGCAGGCCAGGTCTTAGAGAATCAGTTCACTGCAGCCCTGCCTTGGGAATATGTAAATGCTGTGCTCCTTACTGTAGGTGCTGTTCACTCTGAGCCTGGCCTGCCATCACCTTGCTGTGGGCCAAGTGGGGCCACACCTTCACCTGCAGCCTGTAGGCCTCATGAGCAGGGCCGCTGGTGGATTAGTCATGGCCATGACCATGCTCCCAGCAGTGCTGGGAAGAGGTGGCCTGGGCTGGGCTGGGGGTCCAAGTGGCCTAACACCGCAGTCTAGCTGCTTGGCACCCCACCTGAAGACTTGCTGTTCCTTGTCTTCTTACCTCCTCCCTGTGCTGCCTTGCTTTTTGGAAAATCGTTTGTGGTTGCCATTTTATTTCAGGGCATCAGAATAAACTACAGAATGAACCAAGGTATATCTTGCTACCCTGTAGCACATGCCAAATTTCATAGAAGGTTGTGAATTCCTTGCAAAGTTAGAAGAGATAAGTCAGCCAAGGAGTCATGTTGACCAAAGACCCTCCCAGGCCCACCCACCCCTTCTTACTGCACTATTCAGATCCTTTTAAGCCCCTTGCTGACTGATTTAACAATTAGGGTGAGCTGGAGAGATGATGAACTCACCTGGAAGGCTGTGCTACAGTCCAACTCCTCCTAACTGATCAATGTGATGTGTCGTCTTTGGCTCTTTTTTGACACATGCGACTTTGACATCTGATAGAGATGGAAACTGAAAGAACATTAAGGACAGGGCTTGTCTTGTTTTACAGTACTAGCCCTAACACATTTACAGTGCTGCCATTGCTTTTTGCTAATTGCCTAAACTCCTGGCCCTTAAGAGGGATTCAGAATACTCTGTAAATTAAAATGCCTTAAAATTAAAAGCAAATGTCTGGATGTGATTTAACTACACCTACATGCATTCTTAGTAACTCAATGATTAGATTCAAGGTAAACATATTCAACCTCTACGAAAGCAGAGTAGGTTGGGTTAAGTTTTTGTAACAGGCTCACTGAATTTGGAAGTTTTTGGTTTTTTTTTTAAATAAAATTGAGTTTTATTAAAAAAGCATTGTGGTCTGAGAATATGCAGGGAATAATCTCAGTCTTTTGGTATCGGTTGAGACCTGGTTTGTAACCCAGTATGTGGTCTATTCTGGAGAAAGTTCCATGTGCATTAGAGAAGAATGAGTATTCTGTTGTTTTAGGGTGGAACGTTCTGTATATATCTATGAGGTCCATCTGGTCCAGTGTGTCCTTCAAAGCTCTTGTTTCTTTGTTGATTTTCTGCTTAGGTGATCTGTCTGTTGCTGAGAGTAGAGTGTTGAGGTCTCCTACTATTAACGTATCATTATCAATATGTCTCTTTATTTTGGTTAACAGTTGGCTTACATAGTTGGCTGCTCCCATGTTGGGGGCATAGATATTTACAATTGTTAGATCCTCTTGTTGGATAGATCCTTTAAGAATGATGGGGCACCTGGGTGGCTTAGTCATTAAGCGTCTGCCTTCAGCTCAGGTCATGATCCTGGGGTCCTGGGATCAAGCCCCGCATCAGGCTCCCTGCTCGGCGGGAAGCCTGCTTCTCCCTCTCCCACTCCGCCCTGCTTGTGTTCCCTCTCTCACTGTGTTTCTTTCTGTCAAATAAATAAATAAAATCTTTAAAAAAAAAAAAATGATATAGTGTCCTTAGGTATCTCTAACTACAGTCTTTAGCTTAAAATCTAATTTGTCTGATATGAGAATTGCTACCTCAGCTTTCTTTTGAGGTCCATGAAAAATGGTTCTCCATCCCTTCACTTTCAATCTGGATGTATCTTTAGGTTCAAAATGAGTCTCCTGTAGGGCGCCTGGGTGGCTCAGTTGGTTGGGCGACTGCCTTCGGCTCAGGTCATGATCCTGGAGTCCCGGGATCGAGTCCCGCATCGGGCTCCCTGCTCAGCAGGGAGTCTGCTTCTCCCTCTGACCCTCCCCCCTTTCATGTGCTCTCTCTCTCTCTCTCATTCTCTCTCTCAAATAAATAAAATCTTTAAAAAAAAAAAATGAGTCTCCTGTAGACAGCATATGGATGGGTCCTGTCTTTTTATCTAATCTGCAACCCTGTGCCATTTCATGGGAGCATTTAGGCCGTTCACATTGAGAGTGATTATTCAACAGACAAATGGATAAAGAAGATGTGGTCCATATATACAGTGGAATATTACTCGGCCATCAGAAAAGATGAATACCCAATATTTGCATCAACATGGATGGAACTGGAGGAGATTATGCTAAGTGAAATAAGTCAAGCAGAGAAAGACAGTTATCATATGGTTTCACTTATTTGTGGAACATAAGGAATAGCATGGAGGACATTAGGAGAAGGAAGGGAAAAATG